TTAGCCTTTTGTTTCTGATCATGGGGCGTTCTTGGCAAAGATAGTGGAGTGGCTTGCCATTTCCTACTCCAGGTGGATTGCGTTTAGTCGGAACTCTCCACTATGTCCTGTCCGTCTTGGGTGTCCCTGCACGGCATAGCCCATAGCTTCTCTGAGTTACTCAAGCCCCTTCGCCACGACAAGGCAGCAATCCATGAAGGAGGTATGGAGAACTACTGCAGGGAAAATCGCCCCAGAGGGAGACCACAGCTGCGATACAAGGATATCTGCAAGCGGGATTTGAAGGCCTTGGAAATGGATCTCAACAGATGGGAAGCCCTGACATCTGAGCGTTCAGCCTGGAGGCATGCGGGGCATCACGGCCTCTCCCAATTTGAAGAGACCCTCGCCCAGCAGGTTGAGGCAAAGAGGAAGTCACGAAAGCAGCAAAATCAGAGAGCTAGACAGGGTACAGATTGTACTTGTCCTAAGTGTGGAAGGGATTGTCACTCTCGAATTGGCCTTCTCAGCCACACTAGACACTGTTCCAAGTCCTCCATGCAGAGCATGATATCATAGTCTCTCGAGACTGAAGGATTCCTATGATGATGAGACAGTTACTAAGGGAAAGACTGGTGAAGAGACAAGTCTTGGCTTGCAGATGAACAGCAAAAATTGGCCCTGCCTGGCCTCCCATGGGAGCAGCAACAGAGAAGATCCTCTCCCATGTCCCCACTAAATGCACCTATGAAGGTGGTGGGATCAAGAGGAAGGCCTCTCCTGATAATTTTAACACCTAGGCAGGTTCATAAATGGAGACACAGTTTTTGAGATAGTGTGTACCCAAGACATTATCACCAACAGGGGGAGTTTTTTGATAGTGAAAGATTCCCCCTTCTGTCCTGCTTTTCTAACTTGCAAATAATTCCTTTCATTGCATGGAAAAGGAGGCACAGGGTGACATAAGACTTCTTTAGTTACAGATAATCTCCACTTGATGTCATCATTGTTCTGCAGATGTAGCTACACTAAAAGGATTTCAGTGTGTTAAAATAGCGATTTGGTTGCTGGATTATTTGCATGCTTTACGAATGAAACCTCCACTGTCTTCTCACTTGTTCCTCATGTCTCTTCTCTCTTGGTTACTTGATGGAGGTTTTCCTCTGACCACTGTTGCCTTCTCACTTTTCTTTCACACTTTCTCTTGCTAGGTTACATGTTGGGGATTCAACCTCAAACCTTGCTTCCTACTTTCCTTTCTCTTCCACTTTCATGCTCTGGTGCTTGATGATGTAAAGGCATCAATTTACTGTGCTGATCACGGATGTCATAAAAGTGAGCTTTGGACACAAGAAGGGGGAGTGTTATGTACTACAGGAATTGCTGGTGTTGGTTGCATTCTTGGGCACATACCGGATTGCAAATCAAGAGCACATCTAGGAACACAGCCACTTTCTCATTAATGAGCAGCAATTTGCTGTTGAGACAAAAATTCCCTTATGCAGTTGTAAATTGCCAGTACGATCCTGACCAAAGTGCTCTTCAGTATAGAAAACAAATAGGTCAGCCTGTGATTTGACCTTGTGTAGTACTTTCTATTATCATCCTGGAATTTTATTACGTTGTCAAATGCAGTGCTGCAGTCAAGCTTCTGCGCCCAACCTGAGATTGATCCTCATGGGTTCAGATAGCTGGTTCAAGGTTGATACAGCCTTCCATCCTTCTGAGTTTGATAAAATGAGTACCCAGCTCACTTGGGAGCACATTGTTTGCATATTTAAGTTGTAAACTGCCCAGAGAGTGCTCTAGCATTATGGGGTTGTATGTAAGTCGAAACAATAACAACATACAGATCTCCTTGTTCCCTACAGGCATGGGGAGAAGGTCAGTCTGAGCTCCAAGTGCGCAGAAATTGATCGAGAGATGATTAGTGCCCTTGGTGTTTCCAAATCCGTGATTAACAATGTCATTTTTTGCCATCAAGAAGACTCCAACTGGCCCTTAAGTGAAGGGAAAGCTCTGAAGCAAAAGTTTGATGAGATATTTTCAGCAACGAGGTTAACTTTTATTCATAGTTTCTTTAGTAGAATTAAAGCATTTGATTCTCTTTAAATCCTAATTTAAAAACAACAATTTGTTTAACAAATTTTATGTGATGATAGTATTAGTGCTACTGTTATTGAAATGCACACTTGCTTTCTCCACAAAGGTACATTAAGGCTTTGGAAACCCTTCGTCAGGTGCGTCTGAAGCAGAGCCAGCGGGTCAAAGAGTGTCAAGTGGAACTGAAGTATCTGAAACAAAATAAAGAAAAAGCCCATGAGATTAAAACTCAGCTTACTAACAAGGAAGCTCAGTTGGCTGCCTCCAAGGAGAATGTCAGATCTATTGAGAATCAGCTTGAACCTCTAAAGGTAATTCATTTTCACTGGTTGCCTAGATTTTGCCATAGGGTTGGATGTTCCTGTGAGGAGTTAATTGTTACAAGTGAAATCTCCTGGCCTGGGGTGATGAAAATCTTCATCTATCTTTTGTTCGTACAAGTATTTATGAAGCTATTATGACAGAGACAAATTCTCCCTTTGCTGATCCTTTCTGTTTATAAAAAGCACGGTATGACCTTGAATAATATCAATCTTCTTTATCGCTAATAAATAATAATTGTGTGCAATCAAATCAGTTGTGACTTATGGCAACCCTTTTCAGGATTTTCAAGGTAGAAAGTACTCAGAAGCAGTTTACCATTCCCTTCTTCTGGGGGCATCTTGGGACTGTGCAGCTTGCCCAAGGCCAGGCAGGCTTGTTCTTCTCCCAGGAAGCACAGCAGGGAATTGCATTCTCAACCTCTGGCTCTGCAGCCAGATAGTTAATTCGCTGAGCTATCCAGCCAGCTTTGTTTATAACTGGGATCTCTGACTATACTAATTTTTTTTGCCCAAGATGAGAACAGCAGATTCAAGAAGGATGGGAATCTTGGTAATTGCTACAGGTTATTGTGAGGGACATCTGTAGTATATACCCTCACACTGACTTTTTGACCCAACTGGTTATGATTCTTGGAAGGTAGGGATTGTGAGTTTGGATATTAGACTATTTTGAATGAAGTCATGAAAGAGATTGAATGTGACTGGAGTGAGAGAGATGTATATGACTATAGGTGTGGTTGATGAGAAAGTGTATGCACTTTCCCTTAGTTACAATAACTAGTGTTATTGTACCTAAAATTGTGTCAAATTTAGGGATTATGCAGGACCAGATAAGGTTGTGACAACTGTTGAAGTTTATACAGAGAGTTGAACTCCTTATCGTTCATAAGATTGTTATCAGCTTGGTGAATAAAAATGTATGTTCCTGTTAACCCTCACATCAGTATAATTGAATGAGGGATATGCAGAATAAGCTGTCAGAGAGACACAACTTATACTGCTGTGGAATTCCCTATTTCCCATTTAAATGCCCTGTGGTGTATTAGATGCAGGTAAGTGATTTGGAATACAGAAGCCTAAAAAATATAAGAAGCTGGCCACCAGACAGCAATGTGAGCTTAGCTACATTTGCTACAAATACAGTGGTGCCTCGCAAGACAAATGCCTCACGGGATGAAAAACCCGCAAGAAGAATGGTTTTTGCGATCGCTGTGGTGCCTCACAAGATGGCTTCTTCTATGGCTGTGCTTCGCAAGACGATTTTCCCCCCAAGACCAATGCCTCACAAGACAAAAATAAATCATTCGTCTTGCGAGGTTCCCATAGGAACGCATTGCAATGCATTCCTATGGGAAACCGCTTTTCACAAGACGAAAATTTCGCAAGACCGTGCTTCTCGCGGAACGAATTACTTTCGTCTTGCGAGGCACAACTGTATAGCGCTGCCACCTCTATGCAGAAGAGCATGGAAGATGTGTGTGAACCCAGGGTTTGACTTGCACAGGTTAAAAATGTTAATGCAAATAGTTTTTTCAGGGTAAGAATTTTTCTTCTTTTGGATTATTTTAGAGCAGCTCTATGCTTTTGGAAGAGAAAATAAGAAGTTGCTGACTGAAATTGTGTTGCTTAGTGTAGTAAGACACAGTAGAATAGGTGCAATGAATCAGTGGGGATTTGATGAATCAACTCCTTCATAAGTGCCTTTGTTTCAAATGGCCCTACTCTAGTTGCACTTTAGTAAGTCAACGAGAGTGGGCCTTTTTGAATCACTAAAACTTGTGAAAGAATTGACTTACAAAATCCTCACTGATTCAGTAGGTCTATTCTGAGTATACTGGTGTGGATGCATTTAATGGTTGTGGTCTGTTTTACTTTACCCCACAATGGACCGCTAGAAGAGTGACCCAGATCTCCATCCCTTCTCTCTTAGCCCTAGTCAGCAAGTACTGAAGGCTAGAACAATAATCTTATTTATAGAGTTGGTTATAACCCAGATACCTCATATTTCTGGCATTTTTTCCTTCTCAGAATCGTCTTTCAGAAATAGAACAAAATCTTGTACAGGTCATGAGACTTGACAATGAAATTAAAGCCCTGGAAAGTCGGAAAAAACAGATGGAAAAGGATAATCAAGATTTGCAGCAAAAGATGGAGAAGGTTTGCTTGTTAACATATTGTAGCTTATCTCATTTTTTTTCTGAAACAGACTATGCATTGTACAGTAAAATCACCATCATCATCTTAGAACTGCAGAGCTGGAAGAGACTCTATGGATTATTGAGTCCAGTGCCTGTTAAGGAGGCTCAGTGGGGAATCAAACTCCCAACCTCTGGCTCTGCAGCCGGGTGCTTAAGCCACTGAACTATCCAACAGTTCTTTGTTTGTCCACATTAAAACAACAGTGTTTCCCCCAAGCAGCTTCTAGGTTTATTAATCTCAGAGCCACATTTGGAAAAGCTAATGGCCAGAATCCTGTTTATTGTGGTGGAGTGTCTCTCCACCATTCTCAAGCAGTCTCCCAACCTGCAGTTACACAATCTGGGGGTCATCCTGTTGGAGAACCTGGCTGAAATCCTGTTGCACTGCTAAAGTGCAAAAAAAAAAAAAAGTTTTTGGAGGCAAATTGCCTCAAGTTATGAAATCTCTAGACATTATCTGTTGCACTCTGACTCATGTGACTTAACATGTGACAGATTATGTTTACAGAGTGGTTGCTTTTTAATGAAAATCTCTGAACTTGGAGGATGATTCTAGCTAATTGGACTGGAGAAAGGGGGATTAGAATCTTTGTATTCACCTGGAAGGTTCCAAAAGAAAGAGGTCCTTTTTGATGGTGCTGAAAATGCTGCCAGAATGGTAGTTTACATTAATCCTATTGATTTGTTCATTTTTCATGTGGGGAAAATGGAGGTTTGTGTGTAAGTGGTGTTTCAACAAGTTGGAATTCTTCCCTCAGTTCATTTGATTTGAAAGTCCTTACAGCCCAAATGATACATAGGGGCTGGATTGGGATCTCGTGTGTGTGTGTGTGTGTGTGTGTGTTTGGGGGTGTTAACTCTAAACTACTTTGAAGATTAGGAAGTGTTCTGGAAGAGGACATTTTGGAGAATTGTTATTTCTACGTTGGACCTAAGGTGCTGCTAATTCCTGAGCTGTTGAGAAGATGAGTTAGTGTTGGGTTTATTTTTTTCTCACTGAGCTAATAATATTTTCCCCTAGTGAGAGGGTGTTTAGGAAAAGATTAAAACTTTTTCCAAGCACATTACTTCCCAGTCATTAAACCAGCCATGTGAGACTGCTGACTAGGGTGCGTTTTTCCCCCCTTTTCTCTTTCTTGTTTTTGGTAAAGATTCTAATCACAGATTTCCTGTATCATGTCTGTTAGCCCCTTAGAGGGCCCCACACTGAAACATGATAAAAACATTTTTAACTGTATATTTTCATACCACAATGTTAGGTTTTTCAAGGAACTGATGAGCAGCTTAGAGAAATGTATCAAAACCATCAGAAAACGGTGAAAGAAAAGGAGAGGAGTTTGACAGACCGTCAAAGAGAGATGGAGAGAGCAAGCAAAGAATGCCAAAGATACAACAGAGAAAAATCAGAACTGTTGATCGAGCAAGGTATTGTGGACTTGTTGGTAAACATCTAACACACATTTGGAGCAAACGTATGTGACGTATCGTTCTGTGCCTAGATTGCTTATTAAAATCTGTTCCCACACTATATGAATGTGGATGATTATTTCGATCCCTCATCATAATAGTACACAGCTGAGTGAAGAAGGTTATTGATTTACCTGATTATGTAATAGAGCAGGGATTCTCAACTAGCAGTGTGCTATCTAAATCTGGCCCAGAATCCCATTTTTATCTGACTTCACAATTTTATGTGGCTTCATTTTTACTCAGAAATAGGTTTTTCCACTGATAAGATGTTTTCCATTTTAAGAGAAAGCATTCACACTTAGCAACATTCAGTATGTATTTCAGTTTCGTTTCTCAGGATAACTACTGAGAATTTTTGAAGGAAAGTTGTCATTACGCTTAATGACCACATTTTTCAAATGTTTAATTCTAAGCAAGAAACAGTACAGTGGTGCCCCGCATAGCGACGTTAATCCGTTCGCTAAACGGAACTAAAAACCCCATAGGAACGCATTAAACGAAATTTAATGCGTTCCTATGGAGCAAAAACTCACAGTTCAGTGAAGATCCTCCATAGCGCTGCCATTTTCGCCGCCTCGGTAAGCGAGGAAACCGCCCAAAAATGCTTGCGGTGGCCATTTGGGGCACCTGGCAGCCATTTTGGAACCACCAATCAGCTGTTCTAAAAACATCGCAATGCGAAGATCGGTAAGCGAAAAGCTTACCGATCATCGCAATGTGATGTTTTCCCATTTAACACATCGCAATGCGATCTCATTAGCGATCGCAAAAAATAGATCGTTATGCGGATTTGTCGTTAAACAGTGCGCTCATGCGAGGCACCACTGTATATGCCTTAAGACTTATGAATGGTGTCTAGCTAACCAAATATTTTTAATTAATTAAAGGAAAACAATAAGATCAATACTAACATAAAGTGCGTATACATACCGTGCACGAATTCAAAAAATTTCCCTCTGTGCCACCATCACCCTCAGGACCAGATTAAAAAAATATTTCCTTTTAATCTCTTTTCACCCATTCCACTCCAAAAATACATTGATTCTTCTGCTGGCAATTGACCTTTCTCTTTTACAAGAACATAATTCAAACATGGATTCCATAACTCTTTAAAATCATTATATTTTGTATAGCTCCCTTCTTACTTTTATTTCACGTTTGGAGTATATGCAGGGCTAGAAAAATTTCAGAATGTCTCACCAGTTAGTCAAAAATTTCACCAGTCAACATGACCAAACTGTAGCCTTGCAATTTATGTTAGCAAATTTAAACTAGGCTCTCATTCACTTCTATTTCTACGTAACAATGCATACAACCCCAAAATAAATTATATTATGTACAAGGTATTCACCTATGTCTTTTTAGTAGAAAATGCGCTGCTGTCAGAGGTGTTGCACTTGTGTCCTTGAACATGCCTGGTAATTTTAGCACTGAAGTACCATTTATTGATGGCTTTAGTAGGGTTAAACTGTGGTAGTGGAGGTCCATTTAGATTCACCATTGTAAGGTCATCTAAGCTTTCAGTCTCTAAACACGATCTGAATTTATTTTTGATCAGATTCATCTGACTGAAACCCCTTTCACAGCTAACTGTAGAAACTGGTAAAACAGAGGCAATATTAAGGAGCTTCAGAAGAACAGGAAACCGACCTCCCATGGTGATTCATTGCCTTTCCCAGTAAATCCACTGAAGACAGACCTTTTGCACATATTTTGAGTTCATACCATTCAGAATTATGTATTCTTTGCCCTTGTGTTGCAAAACGTCTTTGTAATGAGATACAAGTACGGTTACTTCCTTTTAACCAAAACTTTCCAAGGACATTTCTGGCCATGTGAACGTATCAGATATTGACATAGATGTTAATTTGCCATGTTTAGCAGTTGTCCAAAATTTCCTTTATAGTATTTTTATCTTTCATCTTTTTCATCCAAGCCCTTATTGTATTTAATCCATTCTCTACTAATACTTCTTTAAATTTAGTTTTAAGGATTTTAGGGAAATTCTGAGCCTCCACTACCCTTATTGTATTTAATCCATTCTCTACTAATACTTCTTTAAATTTAGTTTTAAGGATTTTAGGGAAATTCTGAGCCTCCACTACCCTTATTGTATTTAATCCATTCTCTACTAATACTTCTTTAAATTTAGTTTTAAGGATTTTAGGGAAATTCTGAGCCTCCACTACCCTTATTGTATTTAATCCATTCTCTACTAATACTTCTTTAAATTTAGTTTTAAGGATTTTAGGGAAATTCTGAGCCTCCACTACCCTTATTGTATTTAATCCATTCTCTACTAATACTTCTTTAAATTTAGTTTTAAGGATTTTAGGGAAATTCTGAGCCTCCACTACCCTTATTGTATTTAATCCATTCTCTACTAATACTTCTTTAAATTTAATTTTAAGGATTTTAGGGAAATTCTGAGCCTCCACTACTTGTTTTAATGGTGAGATCAATATACTCAGTATATATTTATATCTATATTGTATTCTCGAAGGTTTTCACAGCTGGGATCTGATGGCTGTCATAGGTTTTTCGGGCTGTTTTGGCCACGTTCTGGAGGTTTTTCTTCCTAACGTTTTGCCAGTCTCTGGCGAAACGACAGGAGTTTTTGAAGATGCTAGCCACGCAAACTTGTAAAACATTAGGAGGAAAAAGCTCCAGAACATGGCCAAACATCCAAAAAAATCTACAACAACCATTTATCTATATTTATTTCCAGCATTCTAACATATTCTTCAAAAAAAGGATTAGTTTTTCTCTTTATTTCTTCTGCTCTTTTTTATTCGAAGAGGATATTCTCCAATCTATTAAAATGTTCTGACATTTCCAGTTCCCTCCAAATTAAGTTTCTGTTATATACAATAATATCCAGAATACGTCTAGGCTGGTTTGCAATGTAATATGTTTTAACATTTGGTAATCCAAGCCCTCCTTCTTTTTGTGGAATATACCATAGTTTCTTATTAATTCCATTTCTTTTATCTCCATTACAATAACTATTTATCAGGTTCTACCAATCTTTCAAATATATTTCTCCAATCTTTATTGGGAGCATCCAAAATATAAAATTAAGGTTAGGGATGATCTTCATTTTAGTTTCAAAACTCTCAACTCTTCCCTTAAACTCTTTTTTCATTTCTTTCTCATTTATAGTACTTCTGAATGATTTAATAAAATATATTCATTTTCAAACCTACAGTGGTGCCTCACTTTACGATTGCCCCGTTTAACGACGAAACCGCATTACGATGAACTTTTTGCGATCGCAAAACAATGTTTCCTATGGGGGAATTTTGCTTTGCGATGATTGGGTCCCTGCTTCGGGAACCGATTCTTCGCAAAACGGCAATTTTCCAACAGCTGATCGTTGATTTCAGAATGGCCGCCATATAAACAAAATGGCCCCCCACTGTTTTCTGGGATGGATTCCTCGCTGCACAGGCAGCGAAAATGGCCACCCTATGGAGGATCTTCGCTGGACGGCGAGTTTACAGCCCTTTGGAACGCATTTAAACGGGTTTTAATGCGTTTCGATGGGTTTTTTCTTTCTGCATTATGACGTTTTCATTCTACAGTGATTTCGCTGGAACGAATTAACATCATAATGCGAGGCACCACTGTATTATATCTTAAACATGATTCAAATGTGTTCTAATAATATGCATTGTTTCTTTTGGGTTTTTAATTATTAATAGTGTCATCTTCAAAAAGATTTATTTTATTCTCCTCTCTATTGTTTACACCTTTAATTAAACTCATTTCTGATCACTTGTGCCAGCACTTGTATTATCAATATAAATAAAGTTGGAGATAAGGGGCAGCCTTGTCTCGTTTCTTGGCCTAAACATATTGATTCTGTTATACCATCATTTATTATTATACGAAATATTTTTTCTAAAGCAAAGTATCAAGGTAAAACACACAATAAAGTTGATGTATGCTCTGTTTTGAGCTCTGTCAAAATAAGGTTACAACAAAACCCACCCAGACACAGTAGGTTTTTTTTTTAATTTAAAAACAATTGGATGAAATCCTGTTGCCATAAGGCTGATGACACTGAGAGCACTGACCTCTTTGTTTGTTGGATTGGAAATTAATCATTAAGCACTTCTCTCGTGATGTTCATGAGGCAACAGTGTAATCCCTTTCATTGTCAGGAAAAGGGGAAGTCTTTATCCTGTTTTTCCAAAAATTGCTTCCCCTCTGATATCATTACCTGTTTTGGCAAATTTTGATAATGATACACTTCCTGTCTCAGAGCTTCCATGGGCTCCTGATGATGAATGACATCGCAAAGGAGCCCTGGGAAAGGGAAAGAGAACAAGGTTGTGAGTGTTTAATTTTCAAAAAATCACTGCAGCCAAAGACATCATAAGCCGTATGCGATGTAAGTTACAGTAAGAGGATTCCAGCCTTTATCTTCTATCTGCAGAACAAGAGTTTTTAAAAGTTGTTTGGAGATTAAGAAGCTTCTCTGTGGCTGTATGCTTAATCTCAGTCAGATATATTTCTGAATATATACATGCAAAATCTGAATGAAAGGAAGGAAGTACCAAAATAGAGAGAGAAATAGTTCAGTGTTTGTTGTTACGTGCCGTCAAGTCAAAACGTCAGAAATGTAGTGTCTGTTTACTTGTGGTAAATTGTTGATTTACTGTTGAGCACTAAGTTGAAGTTAGCTTCTTGCATCTAATAATAGAATTATAAAGTTTTTCTCCTTAAAATGATTGTGTTTAAATGTTTCAATCTTATTTATGTATTTGAAAAGGCCGTCTTCAGTTGCAAGCAGACCGTCATCAGCAGCATATTAGAACGAGGGATTCATTAATACAGTCTTTGGCAGCTCAGTTGGAACTGGAGGGATTTGGAAAAGCACCTTTTAATGAGAGGCAAATTAATAGTTTCCACAGGCTTGTGAAAGAAAGACAGGATAAAGACATGGAAGCAGCGAATCAGTTGATGGTAAGAATGTTGTGATATGACTTGGTGAATGCAACAGGAAAAAGGACTACATTCTGAATTTGCAGAGATGCTACACTATAAGCATATGTACCTGCTTCACAAAGTACTGAAGCAGTGAGACTTCCAAGTAAATTCTAGAATCCATTGGTAGTATGGACTCCAAGGCAAGGTATTATTTATTTATTTA